TATTTTTGACGGTTGTCTCAGAAGCCTATTAATTTAGGATATGATGGCAATTATTGAGACATCATCTTCAAGACATATAGAAGCTATACCTTGACAGCTTATTATATTTAAGCACGAGTTGCTCATAAAAGCCATTATTTAGGAATTGACTATGGCCTCAGTTATATGATCCAACCATCTTCCAGAATCAAGAAGACTACCCCTTCGAACAGCTATTTATATTAAGACGAGTTGCTCATCCAAAAGCCCATTAATTTTGAAATTATGGATAGCCACATTACTTGAGATCATTACCTCTTTCCTAGATCCATAGAAGACTATACCTTCGACCATATTCTATCTATGAGAGTTGCCTCATCAGAAGCTATTATTTAAGGAATTTTTATGCACTTAGAGATCATACCATCTTCCAGAATGATTGAAAACTACCCCTTCGACCAGCTATTCTATTTAATACGAGTTGCCTCATCCAAAAGCCCATTATTTTAGGAATTTGATAGGCCACATTACTTGAGATCATACCATCTTCCCAGAATCATAGAAGACTACTCTTTCGACCAGCTATTTTGTTTAAGACGAGTTGCCTCATCGAGAACCCTTTTAATTTAGGAATATGATAGGCCACATTACTTGAGATCACACCATCTTCCCAGAATCATAGAAGACTACCCCTTCGACCAGCTATTTTGTTTAAGACGAGTTGCCTCATCGAGAAGCCTATTAATTTAGGAATTTTATAGGCCACATTACTTGAGATCATACCATCTTCCCAGAATCATAGAAGACTACCCCTTCGACCAGCTATTCTATTTATGACGAGTTGCCTCATCGAGAAGCCTATTAATTTAGGAATTTTATAGGCCACATTACTTGAGATCATACCATCTTCCCAGAATCATAGAAGACTACCCCTTCGACCAGCTATTCTATTTATGACGAGTTGCCTCATCGAGAAGCCTATTAATTTAGGAATTTGATAGGCCACATTACTTGAGATCATACCATCTTCCCAGAATCATAGAAGACTACTCTTTCGACCAGCTATTCTATTTATGACGAGTTGCCTCATCAAGAAGCCTATTAATTTAGGAATTTGATATGCCATGTTACTTGAGATCATACCATCTTCCCAGAATATAGAAGACTACTCTTTCGACCAGCTATTCTATTTATGACGAGTTGCCTCATCAAGAAGCCTATTAATTTAGGAATTTGATATGCCACATTACTAGTGATAGGCCACATTACTTGAGATCATAAGATCTTACCAGAATCATAGAAGACTACTCTTTCGACCAGCTATTCTATTTATGACGAGTTGCCTCATCCAGAAGGCTATTAATTTAGGAATTTGAAAGGTCTCATTACTTGAGATCATACCATCTTCCCAGAATCATAGAAGACTACTCCTTCGACCAGCTATTCTATTTATGACGAGTTGCCTCATCCAGAAGCCTATTAATTTAGGAATTTGATAGGCCACACTACTTGAGATCATACCATCTTCCCAGAATCCTAGAAGACTACCCCTTCGACCAGCTATTCTATTTAAGACGAGTTGCCTCATCCAGAAGCCTTTTAATTTAGGAATATGATAGGCCACCTTACTTGAGATCATAAGATCTTACCAGAATCATAGAAGACTACCCCTTCGACCAGCTATTCTATTTGTGACGAGTTTCCTGACCCAAAAGCCATTAAATTTAGGAATTTGATAGGCCACATTACTTGAGATCATACCATCTTCCCAGAATCATAGAAGACTACCCCTTCGACCAGCTATTCTATTTAAGACGAGTTGCCTCATCACGAAGCCTATTAATTTAGGAATTTGATAGGCCACATTACTTGAGATCATACCATCTTCCCAGAATCATAGAAGACTACTCTTTCGACCAGCTATTCTATTTATGACGAGTTGCCTCATCCAGAAGCCTATTAATTTAGGAATATGATAGGCCACATTACTTGAGATCATACCATCTTCCCAGAAGCATAGAAGACTACCCCTTCGATCAGCTATTTTGTTTAAGACGAGTTGCCTCATCGAGAAGCCTATTAATTTAGGAATTTGATAGGCCACATTACTTGAGATCATACCATCTTCCCAGAATCATAGAAGACTACCCCTTCGACTAGCTATTCTATTTATGACGAGTTGTCTCATCCAGAAGCCTATTAATTTTGGAATATGATAGGCCACATTACTTGAGATCATACCATCTTCCCAGAATCATAGAAGACTACTCCTTCGACCAGCTATTCTATTTATGACGAGTTGCCTCATCAAGAAGCCTATTAATTTAGGAATTTGATATGCCACATTACTTGAGATCATACCATCTTCCCAGAATATAGAAGACTACCCCTTCGACCAGCTATTCTATTTGTGACGAGTTTCCTGACCCAAAAGCCATTAAATTTAGGAATTTGATAGGCCACATTACTTGAGATCATACCATCTTCCCAGAATCATAGAAGACTACCCCTTCGACCAGCTATTCTATTTAAGACGAGTTGCCTCATCACGAAGCCTATTAATTTAGGAATTTGATAGGCCACATTACTTGAGATCATACCATCTTCCCAGAATCATAGAAGACTACTCTTTCGACCAGCTATTCTATTTATGACGAGTTGCCTCATCCAGAAGCCTATTAATTTAGCAATATGATAGGCCACATTACCTGAGATCATACCATCTTCCCAGAAGCATAGAAGACTACCCCTTCGATCAGCTATTTTGTTTAAGACGAGTTGCCTCATCGAGAAGCCTATTAATTTAGGAATTTGATAGGCCACATTACTTGAGATCATACCATCTTCCCAGAATCATAGAAGACTACTCCTTCGACCAGCTATTCTATTTATGACGAGTTGCCTCATCGAGAAGCCTATTAATTTAGGAATTTGATATGCCACATTACTTGAGATTATACCATCTTCCCAGAATCATAGAAGACTACTCTTTCGACCAGCTATTCTATTTATGACGAGTTGCCTCATCAAGAAGCCTATTAATTTAGGAATTTGATATGCCACATTACTTGAGATCATACCATCTTCCCAGAATATAGAAGACTACTCTTTCGACCAGCTATTCTATTTATGACGAGTTGCCTCATCAAGAAGCCTATTAATTTAGGAATTTGATATGCCACATTACTTCAGATCATACCATCTTCCCAGAATCATAGAAGACTACTCTTTCGACCAGCTATTCTATATATGACGAGTTGCCTCATCAAGAAGCCTATTAATTTAGGAATTTGATATGCCACATTACTTGAGATTATACCATCTTCCCAGAATCATAGAAGACTACTCTTTCGACCAGCTATTCTTTTTATGACGAGTTGCCTCATCAAGAAGCCTATTAATTTAGGAATTTGATATGCCACATTACTTGAGATCATACCATCTTCCCAGAATCATAGAAGACTACTCTTTCGACCAGCTATTCTATTTATGACGAGTTGCCTCATCCAGAAGGCTATTAATTTAGGAATTTGAAAGGTCTCATTACTTGAGATCATACCATCTTCCCAGAATCATAGAAGACTACTCCTTCGACCAGCTATTCTATTTATGACGAGTTGCCTCATCCAGAAGCCTATTAATTTAGGAATTTGATAGGCCACACTACTTGAGATCATACCATCTTCCCAGAATCCTAGAAGACTACCCCTTCGACCAGCTATTCTATTTAAGACGAGTTGCCTCATCCAGAAGCCTTTTAATTTAGGAATATGATAGGCCACCTTACTTGAGATCATAAGATCTTACCAGAATCATAGAAGACTACCCCTTCGACCAGCTATTCTATTTGTGACGAGTTTCCTGACCCAAAAGCCATTAAATTTAGGAATTTGATAGGCCACATTACTTGAGATCATACCATCTTCCCAGAATCATAGAAGACTACCCCTTCGACCAGCTATTCTATTTAAGACGAGTTGCCTCATCACGAAGCCTATTAATTTAGGAATTTGATAGGCCACATTACTTGAGATCATACCATCTTCCCAGAATCATAGAAGACTACTCTTTCGACCAGCTATTCTATTTATGACGAGTTGCCTCATCCAGAAGCCTATTAATTTAGGAATATGATAGGCCACATTACTTGAGATCATACCATCTTCCCAGAAGCATAGAAGACTACCCCTTCGATCAGCTATTTTGTTTAAGACGAGTTGCCTCATCGAGAAGCCTATTAATTTAGGAATTTGATAGGCCACATTACTTGAGATCATACCATCTTCCCAGAATCATAGAAGACTACCCCTTCGACTAGCTATTCTATTTATGACGAGTTGTCTCATCCAGAAGCCTATTAATTTTGGAATATGATAGGCCACATTACTTGAGATCATACCATCTTCCCAGAATCATAGAAGACTACTCCTTCGACCAGCTATTCTATTTATGACGAGTTGCCTCATCCAGAAGCCTATTATTTTAGGAATTTGATAGTTCATATCATTTGAGATAAAACCAGCTTCCCTGAATCATAGAATACTGTCCCTAGTCCCAAGGTTTCTCTTCATCCAGAAGCCTTACAGAATACGGCATTTTTGTGTTTGCGTTGTCAACGTTTCATGTTCATGTTTCGATTTGTTTACACGAACTGTTAAGAATTTGAGTTGTGATTTTAGATCCTTCACAACCCTTTTGAGGACATTGAGCCAAGAAAGATAAAGCAGGAAGCAAGTAAAAATCTTGATAAAGACGAAAAGAAAAAGGCTAGGAGGAAACAAGAAAAGTGGGCTTTTTTTCTTCTTTTGTTATTTTTGTGATTTGCGGTTGGTTTAATTCAGAATTGTGCGATTCAGCCAGACACACATTTCATCTAGATATGGCAGACATAGACACTTTGCCACGCTGAATGAATGATGAAAATTGCCTTTAACGCCGTATTTTTGACGTCTCCGCAGGAAGATACACCTTTATCTATCGTCTAGAAGCACAAAATTTCGTAGGTATAGAGAATTAGATGCACTGAGCAAGAAATAAGTTTGAAAATTTCCAAATGTGCACCCAGTTCTAAATTATTTTAAATTTTGCTTTGAAGAAATTCTAGCTCAAATTCACCTCAAAATTTAAACTTGGATATATTCCTAAACTGCACTGCCCTGTAGTTTAAAACATAATTGAGATAATTCTTGGCTTTAACTTTTTTTATATTGTTTAGATATCATAGAATCATGTAAATGCCATCTATACTCTTGGTTTATAGGTTAAATTTTTTCAAAGTCCGTCCCTCATTTTTGAAATATGCATTATTATAATTTGTTAGTGGAATGTATGAAAAATGATTTTGGCGTTTAATTCCGTTTTTCCCTACCTTTCAAGGAATTTCAAATTATTATCATTTGGAGAAGAAGCTGAGGAAGATGACGGAGAGCTGACGGCTATCAGCAAGGTATTTTTTTCTTGTTAATTGTGTTAATTGTCAATCTCAAATTTAGTTATTTTGCTGTAAAACCTGGCATATCTCTATTGAAGGATGTGTATTGGATGTACGGCTGACATTGTGTTCTTCTTTTTGCACCATTTCTGTGTAGTCCGCAATTACTTCTTTTCAAACATCGAGATGAATTCTAATTTCTCAAAATTTATTACATTTATCTTCTTTTTTAATCGTCTGTGCCAAACGGCTGTTGTCATCCTTCTTTTATCAATTGAATATAAAGACAGACTTTGTTTTGTAGCTCTTATATTAGACCATAGTGATTTGACTTTTCCCCCGACCATTTTCTTTTATATCTCAGATTCTCGATGAAATACCTTATCAAATAGCCGAAAGGGTTATACCCATTTTATGGACACTAATTGAATATTTTTCATGCATTCTGCTGTTGCCCGTATTTCAAATCAAAATTGTCCATTAATATATTTGAGCTGTATGATCTGCCATTCAAAGATAGTATATATAGATCAACAAAGAAAACAATAGAATTTTTTGATTTTTCGGCGATCCAAAGAAGTTGACTGTTTGTTAATAATAATAATAATAATAGTAATAATAACGAATTATTTAACAGGATAAAAACTTCAACAATTACGAAATTACTGTTATCAATGTTTGTCTTGTAAAAAGAAAGGTGCTTAAAAAGAAGATATATAAATATGTTACAACTGCAGGTCTTAAAAAATCAATTTTGTAGTATTACAAATTAAAATCTTATGTATTAATTGTGTTCATAATTTTCATAAAATCAGATGCATTGTCAGACGTCCTTGGACTCAGTGGTAGCTCATTAAAAGTCTTTGCACCCATGTAATAGAAACCTTTCCTCGCGTATTCAGTTCTTATCCGTGGAAGACACACACTACAATGATTGTATGATTGTAGTCCTTTTGACTAAACATCTACTTCGGAGTTATTATATTTGATGATATGATAAAGGGTTTTCGGTTCTAGGAAATCAAGATACAGAGCAGCCATGATGTTTTAAATGATCCAAAACTCAGTACTGAACAAGCAGTCGATGTTAAGTCGTTGCCAGTGAGTGTATGGTTTTGCTCACTACAATAATAATTGCGCACATTAAGTGATCCACATCTTTTCAGCTTGTTCTTCTATCACTATGTTCACTTTATATGAATCACATGGATCTACCATCTCGATGCTATGATATCAAGGCTACTAAACTAGCACAGTTAAAAATTTATAACTTCACCTACGACGGATACATTGATATGCCGTGTTCATGGTTTCTTTCCAGTTGAAACCATGTTTCCAGATACATTAAACAATCGCAAATGCGCCCTTGTAAATTTTTGTGTTTCAAATTTTGTCTTATTTTCGTCTGACAAACAGGCGGTGGAGAACATAAGGCAAAAATTATCGAAGAAACCAGAGGCCAAAAGAGACGCCCAGGATTCTTTGTCCGAAGACGAAGAAGAATTGGAAAAAAGAAAAAGAAAGTGAGCTTGTTTTGTTCTTACTTTATTTCGACTCTTTCAAATGGCGTAAAAACCCATTAACAACTTCTTCAACCGTTGAAGTCGAGATTGACCCATATCGGCAACAACGTGCACTGAATAACATACAGGCTCGAATGTTGCTTTTTGTTTCCTTGATCAGGAGCAGTCTGCATAACAATATATTGCAAAGCCACATACCTCTCTTGCTCTTACTTTGACTGAGTATGTGCAAAATATTTTCCACAAACCTTTTAATAGCTATTTAGAATCTCTTGAAAGCTGGTGTGCTGTTTAAATAAGTTAGTTTTAAATTATTGTTGATAATGTTTTGCGTTTGTTTATGTTTTGGTATTATTGCTTTGCTCTTTCCATTTGCCAGGGCAGCATTGAAGAAAGAAGCCAGAGAACTCAAGCGGGAATTAGCTGCGCAACAGAATAAGAAGATCATTCAGGAGGAGCCAAAGACTGCTGCAGGTATGAATGATATTCTTGTTGACACTTGAATTTAGGTAGACACCGAACAGTGCCTCAGTTAATGGTAAAAAAATGTCGTGGTTGAATCCTGTTGTTTCGGGAAGTCCACTCTTTGCTAAACGGTTAGGTGCTTTGTAATTATCTGACTTGCAATGTACATAAAAAAAGTGCTTTTCATCTGCAGCCATAAGAAAGGCTATTCCATGTTTACATCACTTAACTGTATCAGTTTTTGTACATATTTTTTCGTCGATTTCTTCAGAAAACCTTTTCTGTTTGTCACAGTTTCAGAAGACGAGGAAACCTCTGCAGTAAACGAACTGATGACCCGGCTAAAACATGAGAAACAACAGTTTGTGAAAATGAAAAAAGAAAGCTCCATTCTGAGGAAAGGGGGAAATAGGGAAAAAGAGGTAAGCTTTGCCCTCTTTAATGCTCTTCACACGATACGTGAAAGCATTTTATACATGCAAATGTTACGATACAAATATTTACCTTGTGATGTGATAGGAAATTAAGAACCTACAAGCTGAAATTATGAAATTAGACCCCATTTTATAAGAACCCATCTAGCCTGAAATCTGAAATACCTTAATTGTTCTTAAATGTTAATAGGTTCTTAAATGTAGAAATCACCTAATTTCATTGAAACTATGGTTGCTTGCTCGTTGTCATTAAGCTATTCTTAACTTCCATCCCGCGGGCCAACTCCGGCCCGAAAAAACAAGATTTCATCGGGCCCGCCGAATGCTTTTACCCAAAAAATATCTTTGGCTTACACTTTCAAAATTAGAAATTCGATTTTGTTCTGTTATTTCTTTTGCTCTAATACTTCCCTTTTCTCTGCAGTAAATTATAATATGTGTTCCATTGACCAGTTTTTGGTCCGAAAGGGAGTACCGAAATCTAAAATGCTTTATTTAATCATTTAATCGTTTTATAGCGAAATATTATAACGCTTTGAGAAAGTTAAAAAGTAAAAAAAAATGAAGACATGTTTTCCAAAAACCGTCATCATTTATTTCAAGTGAAGTTCACAGCATGGCCTCAACCCTTTCTCTACTTTGTGCAATCTCATGCTGGAGGCCAGATTTTTTCTTTGGTTCATGTAGTTCCTGCTTTATAGTGCGTGTGGCAACATTTGTGGACTGGGATACAGTCTTATACATTGATCCTAAACTATTTTTATTTATTTCTCTGCTCCATCTTATTTAACTTTTATTCAAATGCAAAAAAGTTGATTATTTGCTCTTATGGTAAGATTATTCCAAAATTATTTGCAAGGCCCTTACTTTTTCATGTCAACATTAATAAAGATAAAACTATGGAACAATGGTAGCGGCCTTTACAAGATACATACACGATCATCACATTTCGGCCTCTCTTTAACATACGTTTCACAGTCCCTGGATCTGACTTCAAGCACTTCAAGTCGACCTAACCAGAACCTAGCAAAGATTAACGTCCAAATCTCCAAAACAGTTGAGGCGAACAACGATTATCTGACTCAACCTGGTAGAAAAGACGTAAAGCTACAAAGTTTTGTGTAAACTTTTTTGGGTTTTCATGCTATGTTACAGTTTAAGGTTTTTAGCCCTACAATTTGCCTTGGGTCTGTAAATCCATCGTGTATTGCACATTGAGGCAATCCCTCCAGCATCCAGCCAGCACCATGTCCTGTTATCACTGGCTTCCCTTTTTCATTCTTTCATCCACCTTTCCGAAACTTATTTCTTGGAAATAAGTACAATGCACAGATTGTATGAATATAGAATCTAACATAATCGGAAAAATAGGCCTGCTACTTATCTCTAATTAAGCCTGGTAAGTATGATCTGAATTTCTCTTTGAGTGGTTTTTTTAACACCAGGAGTTGAAAGAAGTTGCAAGTGACCCCCTAAGAAAATCTACATGTTTGTCTGGTCTAACACTCAAAATGCTTAAGAAACCCTGTAAAAGATGATTTAAAAACCCTTTATAAATATGGTATTCAATACTCTGTTCAGTATCTCAATATTTTTCAATCCCCATGCTAAAGTGCTGTACTGCTCATTATTTTACTTCATGTTTTTGGTGGACTCCTGTTTACTCAACTTTCTTAGCACCTTCTGTAAGTGGTAGGGATTTCCACTAATAATTTTTTAATTCACTGGAATTTCAATACCTTAAGCCCTAGAAAACAAATAGAGCAAAGGCTTGAAATTTGTTGGATTTGTTAAGTTGGATTGAATTTCAACAAAAATTGACCCAGTTTGTTGTCCATGTCTACTCAGAAGCTCTTAGAATTAGCTGTTCTGCATTAGTTTAGGTTTCTTTTTACCAACCAGTGTTTGCTAGCGTCTGCTTTGGGCTGGACCTTGTAGAAGTGACCTCTTTCTGATTAGATGCTTATGCCAACAAATTGTCAGACGAAAGATGTTTGTTGTTATATTTAATCAGTTAATGTGAAGTCACGTTAAGGTCTACCATCCTTTTTTTACGCAGACATTGGCCATGTTGTCAGGATTTCAAACAAAATTATCATCGACTGAAGAAAGTTCGCTTCGTGAGGAGGCAGAAGAAGAATCAGATATGGGATGGTTTGTGTGATTTGCCATTTTCCGCTTCAATATTTATTCATTGCTTTTCCACGTTTGATGGATGTTGTTTTAAAGCTATAATGGCCGCCAAAAGTAGTTGGAACACCGCAATTGCACTCGTACTAAATGCTTACTTTTCAGTTCATTTCCCTATTTCAAGCAAACGGATCCCCCTCCCCCCTTAAACAATTTTGGGAAGGAAGATGAACATGTCGCTAAACATCGGTTTCACAATTTACGCTCCTACCTACATTTGTTGTCATTTTCTAGTCGGAATCCAACTATGGGGGGAGGGGAGACATTTAGTAGGAAAGAAGAAAGGACTATTTCAACACTTTTGGTGAGCATTGTAGCTTCCTCTCTTTTAGATCTCTATTGTTATTTCTATCATTGAAATTTAAGCGATGCAGCTGCACAAGCAAAGCTAAAATCTAATCTGTACGGAATACGTTTTATCAAGCTGCTAGCACCGTAAGCCCATCTATCAATAACTGGTTGAGACAACCTTCGTTAAATGTTTTCTTATTTTTCTCGTTTAGGATGGGCCACACATTAAAGTTTGAAAGTGCTGCTGCCAGGGCAAAAGATGCAAACATGCGCGACGAAGACACATATGACATTTTTGACCCAAGAAACCCAATCAACCAAAGGCGGAGAGAGGCCAGTGGACGTAAAGATGCTAAAAGGGCAAAGCGATGATATTTGTCACGGAGGAAGCCGACCACTGCTGCTTATTTTGATATATCACCCGCAAGCCAAGCAGGCTATTTTGCTCTTCAAACTGAACCCATTTCCTCTGTCTTTGTAGAGCATTGGGCTGTTTGTTGCTCTCGTCAATGAACAAGATCTCTTGAGCAAGACCTACATTTTTGTCATATTCGTGATAATTACTTTGATGATGAACAGGTCTAAGTGGCCATTCTGATGAGAGTTTTATTTAAAACCACCGTCAAACCACTTTGATTAAATGAGAATGAAAACTAAACAGACATAAAAAGAATACTCCACAGCACAAACTACTACTCAATACAATACAATCATTTAGGATCGTAATCCAGCAACAATCACTTTCAACCTACAGAAGCTGCACAGCTATAATAGTCCTCATATTAGTGCATTGTGTCGTCGTTTAGAAAGATTGCACCATGATCTGCTGACTGCAATGCATTATCGCTAAGCTTAAGTGCTGGAGTAGACTTTCTTGTTATCAATTTACGTCGATATTTCACAAATATTGCGTGTTTTTTACAAATTACAAATAAACTAAGTTGACTAGTGAATATCTTGTAGAGCCAGTATATCCGCGGGTAGGTTTCTGAAGACTGATAACGCTTTTGTTATAGAAAAGTTTCCACTTCCTGAAAGATAAATTTTTCAGCAAAATTTAAATTTTGTTTTTAACAATCTGGGGTCCAATTCAGATGTTTCTAAAGCCCTAGTGGCTGTAATAATACAAACTTTTGTTCTTTTGAAACAAACCTTTGCAGTCGAAAAACATAGGTATGCTTTGCAAAGCTGTAGAGCGATATTTTGCTACGTAGTGTGAATCTGCTTATCAAATCTATGTGCCTTCAATCCACATAATCATAAAACGCTCAGTGAATCGCACAACATTCAGTTTTAGAGAGCTTTTCTACAAGCTCTACTCAACTCTCCAAAATAATGTTCGGTAAATTTGAGAATTGTTTATGTATGTGGTAGGCGTTGAAAGCGTTTCAACAGGTTTTTAACTTATTCAGAATAAGCCAAAAGATATGTTGTCCACATAAATCAGTGGCAGACCCCTGGGGGGGCGAGAATGGTGATCGCCCCCCAATTCTTTGAAATACAATGGTCTTTTTTATTCTAAAACAATGACAATTATTTAGCAACTTCAGGAATTAAATTAAAGGCAGGAATATAGTGCTGCGGAAAGAATAAGGAAAGTTGTAATCAAATATCCAAAAACGTCATTAACTTGTTTGCAAAGACAACCGCAAAAAAAATCAAAGAAGAAGTAGGGTCTTGTTGGTAGTAGTAGTAGTAATGAAAAAACAAGTAGAAAAATCGGGGGCTATTTGCTGTGTAAAGTGGGCTAAATCGTGCTGTGCATTCATACCACAGAATCAGGGCACAGAATGGAGTGTGCACTAGAGTTTTGAGCTTTGGTAATTCTGAAAACGAGGCCAAAAGTTCTAATGGCGCGTGGAGACCAGTGAAATCAGAAGTTACTTGGGAATGGCAGAGTCGACTGAAGTTGTAGTAATTGACATTACGAAAAAGAACTTTCCAGAGTTGTGGCCAGCCCTATTATTTGCTGTACAAAACTCAAGCTTTATCGCAATTGACCTGGTTAGTTTCAGTGCAACTTTTTAGGACGCCAAGTCCGTCTGGATTTCTTTTCATAGCAGTTTATCGTCAAAATCTTTAGAGTGCACAACGCAAGGACAGGCTATTACCTGGGAGTGGAAGAATGCACGTGTTATAGTTGTGCACCAAATTTCCCAGTGATTCTTGTGTTTGGCCATGTTTTTCTTTTGGGTTTATCTAGATTATTTCAAGGAAAAGAATATAATTTTTTAAATGCCAAAAACATGATAATCGTAATCGGTGATCTCAAGCTGACCCAGCTCATCACTCAGGGATGCACAAGTGCACTTGTGGTTGTAATGTTTCTTGCATATGCCATGAAGTCCAGAATGGAGCCGGACTGCAGAGTATGGCAGTTTTCAACGCGTTAACGGGAGCTCTGGTGTGCAAGAGCAAAATTTCAAATGTGCAAGGTGCCTGCACTTTGAAATAAGCAGGCACTTCAATTGTGCACAATACAGGGACCCCCTCCACTTTTTTGCAAAACAATAGAGTTTTATTCAAAATCTTTTGTTATGGGTGTTAAATTTTCCCTTGCCCCCCCCCCCACTTTTAAACCTTTGTCGGAGCCCATGCGATAGTGTGCAGAACTATGCTAGAGCCCAAGCATATCAATTAAGTAGCAACGCTGAACAAAGGAAAGTGTATGATTGATAGTTTTATTTTTATCAAACCAATGCAAGATATGTTGATCTTGATTTGCCCAAGGCTACACCCATGTCAAGCCCAGATCTCTATACCAGGGGTGGATTTAAGCAACAATGATAGGGGGTGTTATATAATAATTGGATTTTTGTGCCACACCTTTCAGCTTGCTGGAAAATGATGGAGCCCATCTTCAAAGTTCGATTTTTAACTTTTAAGGTAAAAGATGATATGAAGATAAATAAAATAAAATCTTAGTCTTATGTTGCTCCTACTGACTACCACCAAATTATTTTTACCAAATGGAAACAAAATTTACTGAATGATACAGAAATATAAGGGGGTGTCACACCCACTACACCCCTTGCTAAATCCACCCTGCCCTTTTCCAGGTGTGCAAAGGCATTTAAGAAAAGCTATCTCAGGTGTGCATTTGCCATTCTCTGCAGTCTAGATACCAGGGCCCTAGAAGGTCAGTAAGGCTTCAATTTCAATTGATTCAGGGCTTCCTAATTGTGCCAGTTCTGTTTGATTTTTTTGAAAACCTCAGCAAACAGTATTCAAAATGGACTGGTCAAGAAAGAGCACCCCTTATTTTTCAAAATGACTACCAGAATTTCTAAATAATTTCAAACCTTCGCCAGCTTTAATAAAATTCAAAGAGTAACATAAAAGTAACTTAGAAATGCAAACTTTAACCAGTCAGTACAGATGTCAATTTCTAGATAGTTAGCATCATGTATGCTCTTTGGCATATTTTCTGTATAATGCAGTCTTTTATAATGCCAGCCCAGATATTTCAGGCTTGGTGCAGACGTTCCTTTTAAAATTCAACCTAGTTTTCATTTGTATTAATTTTCATGATAGATGGGGGTACCCAATATGTTTCTTGGGGAAACGAGAATCTTCATTGTTTGGAATGGCAAATGGCAAATTTGTGTGAGCATGATTTGGGATTGGATAACACCAAAATTCAGTAATTGATGGTCGGGGAGAAACTGTAGCAGGAATCAGGGAACCAGTTGGGAACCCTCATGAACTGAACAGTTTTAATTTAACCATGACATTGAAAAGAAAAATTTTTCAACCCACATTTTCTATCAATGCCCCTCTATATGATCTCCACATTGTGTGAAATAGATGGATAAAACTTGAAAAGGGTGCCAAATTGCATATTATTGCACAATATCCAAAAAGTAGCTGTAATAACCATCAATGGCTATCTATGGAATCGTTTCAATACAAGTATGCAGGTTCAACCATTTTGATGAAAACAAAACTTGTATATTCCTTTATAAATGGCTGCTTTGGGCAAAGGAGTGGATGCATTTTGCAATGAAATTGATGCAGGGTTGTTTTTATCCAAAGTTTGATTCCATTTCTGATTTTTTATATATTATACTTTGTCTCATAGGAACTGAGTGGATTAGGTGAAAGAAAACAACTGTCTGCCAGGTGAGTTCATTCATGTCAGCTTAGTGTATGTAGTCCTACTTGCTGGTTTGTTCTCACAATAACAGGGTTCATACATTATTAAGTTGCACTTCAATTCTGCAGCTTTATTTTCGCTTTATTCAATATTAAGTTGCAGCTTTATTGAATATTAGAGTGCCTTGAAATGCCATCCATCTTTAAGTTTTCAATCCCAGCATTCTGGATACAAATGAGGATAAGAAAATAGATTATTCCTATCCTATAAAAGATTTAGCAAGGGAAATCAGCCTAGGACCACTGCAGCATCTGTTTGGTTGAACAAGAGGGCAAGATTCTTTGGCATTTACTTATGTTATTTCTGGATGCTATTAATGTTGATCTTTTTACAAGTTTTGGTTTCGCCTGTATTTAGTCTTTTTTTAAAATATCTCCCAGAGTTAACTAGTTCGCTGTAAACTAATTTTACTGTTATTACCAATTAAACTAAAATGCTTGAATCGTTCTAGACATCATATCATAAAATGAATATAATAATTTGAACTCAAATATTAAATCATTATAATATTTGTCATGTATCAACAATGATAAATTTGTGGATACAAACTATGGCACATAGCATGTTTGAACATAACAGCAGGTGGCACATTTGGAAAGTAGGGAACATAATTTTAGCAGATTTATATCAACACCATGTTTGGTTTTTAATTTTGGATCATTTGCTACTCATATCTTCTCCAATAGCGAATCAACGCTCTGATGTGATTGGGTCGATTTATTTGTGATTTGTATTCAAGGAGCAAACTCAAGGGGTTTATGATGTCAACTACTGAATCTATTGAAATGAACATAGAAATATGAACAATGAACATAGGCATAGAAATGATCAGTGTTTTGCAATATTTGATCGGATTTAGCTTTAATAGAATATATTGGGTATTTGCTTGATAGCTCTTTTTTGAGTTTAGTCTATGATCCAAAGCAACTATTTATTTAAAAAACCTCTCATTATGTCAAGCATTCTCTTTATTTGTTAATTTCTTCAAATAGTATGTATATTTTACGTAATCATTTGCTTGTTTCTTGCATAGAGCTACTTTTTATTCTCAGTTGCGAAACAAGTCTCTCGGGCATGTACTCGGTTAAAACCTTACGTAGTCTTCTTATTTTGCAATGTATTTATTTCTATTCCTTTGTATTCAGTATGTTGCTCAATCAATGAAACTTGTCAACTTATATAATGTTTACCGTGGGCAATTGAATTAAGGATTGCTTCTCCCTTTGCAGCTCTGTTGATGAGAGGTTCAAAGCCCTTTCAAGAACTGCACAGTCTCGATCTGTTGTGTCAATGGGGCTGTCTTGCTTTAGACAAGAACCATCTTCGCGAGATAGCTTTCAAAGAGAATTTAAAGTTCAAACATTTAATATTTTTCTGCTATGTGATAGTGAATATGTTGTTGAGTCACAATCGTTGCAGTTTTTGGTGAATCACGGCTTTGACTTCAACAAACAATATTCCCTTGGAGTTCCGTATAGTAAAGAAGAACAGGAGGTCAGTAAAGTTTATTATTCCTTCGCCCTTTTGCTGCTTATGTGTGGATTGAAACGTGCTATAAAGTAAACTGATGCTTTTACATTATTGAAATAAAATGCAATGGATATCAAAACCATCTTAAGTCTCTAAAATTTTGTATGGGTTATTATGTATTATTTTTCTATTTGCAGACATCAGGGAAGATGCTGACAATTAGAAGGCTTTTTCTCGAAGTTGTTTCCGCGCAAAAACCATTAGTAGTTCATAACGGCCTCATCGACCTTGTATTTCTGTATCAGAATTTCTACGCCCAGTTACCGAATTTGTTGCAAACATTCATTGCCGACTTGTGTGATATGTTCCCTGCTGGAATATTCGACACCAAGTACATTTCCGAGTTTCATGTCAGAGAGCATTTCTCGTTTCTAGAATATCTCTTTAAAAAGTGGTGAGTTTCAAAATAGTGTCTTAATCATATTAAACGACAGTTTACTGTTAGGGTTTTAAGCACAGTAATTTGAGCTGCTTTCTCAGCATGTCCTTCGTTTGTCATTTCTAGCTGACTCTGGCTATTCATTGCTCCGAGTATAAAAACTTTATGATATGTATTTAATTTTTTAATAAATCTTCATCAATTTTCATGTTTTTCATAAACTATTTAAAGTAAAAACTGTATCCTGTTATTTTAAACTCTCATTAGCAGAAAAGACAAATATCACAATCATTGAACTAAAAAAGACAAAGAGAGACAGATATTGAAAAAAAAATTATTTGAGGTATGGAATAAGCTCGGTAGGGAATGATACATAACCAAATCTGGTGTGTCATTTGCGTATTTCGAGGCTTGAACGCTCCACCCATGACCCAGAAGATAGTTATGTTGAAGTGGAACAGTGACTATAATCTTCGCTACCAAAATGTGAAACAAAGCTTTTGCCTTATTTTCTTTGTTTCAACTGAACCTTGAACATATTTGCCAATCAAATTGATTTAAGCGATGTTGGATGCATCGGCATGCATCATTGTCTGTTTTTTAGCAATTTGGAATTTGCGTTCTGTTACAAGAATAGTCCGTAAAAAATCTCTTATTTGTGCCGTTTTTTTTATTTCCGCTTTTTTTACCGTAACTAGTTTGTATGCTTCGTTTTTAAACTATCGTATGCTTTTAATGTCCTAAAAACTAAATCATTTTGTTGCCTTGAGACATGGCGTTATATAAAGGAAGATTTCTGCTTCAGTTTCTCGTTGTTTTCTTTACGTTCATCTATCTTAACTATTGGTCAATATTTGGTTTTTTTATGTTTCTGCAGATTTCTCTCCAAGGGCAATTTCATGTTACCTCGTTGGTTCACCGTCATCTAGGCTGTCTCTCTCGTAATGCTTACATTTTACAATGCATGCATCATTTAATATATTCAAAAGAAAACGCTCCAGTTCGCAACATTTCACAAATGTCACTTTTCTTGTAGCCAGTACAAAAATGAGGCTTTGAGGGAAGCTAACGAGACCTGTTTACTTGTTAAGGAAGGCAGTTCATCTGTGCGACAAATGGTGGTTGATCAGCATGCCGTTGTCTGCGCTTTGCCAGATCTCAAATTAACCCAGTCAATCCTTGAATTATTACCAAACCTGTGTAAAAGTTTTAAGGTAGTTTTTTTGCATTAACAAATTTATGTATTATTTAACTTCCACAAATTCTGGCATTTAATTGTTTTGAGTATATTGGATGGGAAATTTGACTTGACAATTACATCTTTTGTCAGTCAGCAAAGCAAAATTTTCATTCTATATATTTATATGTGTGTGTGACACGCGACATATCTCATTTAAATCAGTACAGTTTATATTGCAAATGCAAAGAGTGGCCGTATCCAATGATAGCTGTAATGAAAGTGAAAAACGAAGAACATGACAAATGAAGTTATCTAATCGAAAATTGTAAAATTATATAATTTGACCCTTTTCTTATAGATATTTTGTAATGGAATTTTTTTAATTTGCAGACTCGAGGCTACTGCTGTCAGAGAGACTCTTGTACCAAGATTCACAGTGTAGATTTAATGATAATAGGCGAAAATGCAACGCAGGGTAGCAGAAAAAGGAATCGGAGGAGAAAACGGAAGCTTGGTGCTGAAGAAGAGAATACAAGAACAGACAACAAGAAATCATACTACGATGGTTCTAGGAAACAGTATGAATCGGAGTCCGTGGAAGAAAAACATTTGAATACAAATGACTTGGCATCAAGCTCCAGAAAAGAGGACGATTTAATAGGAAAAGTTTGTAATGAACAGTTGGAGTTGCCACGAATGAACGGTCACCGCGCTGGTTTCGATGCTTTTATGACGGGGTATTGCTTCGCTTTTTATCAGCTTGCTTGCCAACAGGAGGACATCGAGGGGTCAAGAAACAAAGTTTACCTTACGGCGAAAGACCTCCCACTCAATATTATGAGGAGTCATTTTGCAAAAACCTCTTCTCGACACGAGAAAATCATGGCTGTACTTAAACCCGGGTGATTCCTAGTTTTAGCAAATTTTCTCTACTTTTGTATTTTTCTTTATTCTTGGCTGCCATCTACAAACTTCGAACTTCCAAGGCTCACGTCCTTTTAGGTTTATGTAAACGGTTTTACGATTCAAAGTTGCGGACGATTCAAATCTTATTTTCCTGAGGTATTTTAAAAAATTGCGATAGAAATTGCACAGGTAACAATAGATTTATTTAAGCAGACAAGACTTGTTAAATAATGTTTATAGTGGTATTTTCATGTGATTTCCTGTTACTTTCGGGTTGCACTTGGATTTAGTAAATCGCTTTCCTTCAGGACCGGCGAAACCGGGGTGCCCGGGGGGCCATGGCAAAGTAAAGTTTTTGAGGGAAAGATAGAAAGAAATCTTGTCTATTTTATCGTTAGTTATGGTGCAGAATATTACCAAAAATATGTTTCGTTACAATGTCTTTACCATTAAAATATTTAGGGTACACACCTCGGGGGTACCTTAACATGTTTGAAGGTACGGAGCGTGCCATTTTTAGGGGCACTATTTTCTGAAAAGTGCGGAATTACCGGTATCAGTTTTTGAAATACATATTTGCGAAACTATTGGTACCATTGAAGAAACATGCAAAGTTATAGGTATCGTTTTGTGAACATATTGCAAAATTATTAGGAGGGAGATTAAGCATTAACAAAATGAATGTCCTGTTAAAAATTAAAGTATGAAATATGTGTAATATTGATATTTTGGGGCAGAAGACATACAAAATTTGTTTAGTGATTTTTTTGTGCTTTAAAAATTTCGATGGCTTAGTATAGTTTTCATCATGTTGGCGGAATTTTGAGTCACATTTCCAGACATGTGCGAAATTTTGGATCCAAATTTTTAACCAAAATGCACGTCCCCGTTCAAAATTAGGCTTAGGAGCCCCAACACCCTGCCCTTCAAGGTACACAGAGAAGATAGAGCATGAGAATTTCATCGAAGAAACCGATAGTCCAAGTTGTGCGCTACACGATGCACTGTGCCTGCGAGTAACTAACAGCTTTTCCAAGGTGGCGGCTAGCTACCAACCATTGTGCGGTCTTGGGAATGCATGGGATTTTAGGATGTCGGTGGAGAAACCGGACAAGACCAGAAAAACTTGGTGACGGAGTTTCATGTTCTCTATGACCCAAACCTGGCCCACAAGGCCTATTTGTTATCGGACAAGCTCTCAAAAATATTACAGAGTAACCTGTCTGCAGAGTATGGCAGTTCTCGACGAGATCTCGCGCGTGCAGTACTCATTCACGCCATGTTTTCTGCGTGCAAACCTTTCTTTACTGATCAATAGCGCTATAGTAAATTTGATGTTCAATCAGAAACTTTTGGCGTGCAGCACTATCCTGACCTCGCGCGTGCGTCAGCCACACTCTGCAGACTCGCAGAGGGAACAGCAACTGTACGAGGAGAGGGAATTGTTAGGGAATATATTTCTAAGATAGAAGGAAACTAAAAATCGGTAGGTTTGTTCTTTGAAAGTATTGTCGCAGAAGCTTCAAATTACGATTTAATCGATGATTCTGTTCAGCCAAGAAAGAGACGAAGCGCTGATTAAAAAGCTGGAAAAAACCTTGTGGTAGAGGGAGATTTAGATAAGGGCAAAAACTATCCTTCCCCGCCAAAAAAACACTTCAGTCTACTTCAAAATTATTTTTTTTAAAAATCTTTTTAAACAGCCTAGTTTGAAAGTTTCAAGTCTTCAGTCGTTTTTATTATACAAAATAACACCTCAACTTGACGAGATTGCTTAATCCTTTTTTATTTGATGTATTTTCCTTTTGATTTTCTTATTTCATTGATATTCATGTTTTATTGCTAAAATCTGCATCGTTTACTACTCCTCTCTAAATTACTTGATTACTTATTTGATAGAAAGCAATTTTAATTATACTCGTTGCGCTAAAGTGGTTATTTTAGTAGAGCTTTGCAAGACTTTTCTTATCTTATGTCGACATCGAAATGGGTAAAACTTTAACAACCTGTGTTGTTAATAAAGTAACAGTCTCGAAGGACGAATTATTGAAGAGCGAAGTCGATAGTAAGAGACGTACGTCGTGTTATTATCTTATTTCGAACCAACTAACTATTTCTAAATAAACACAGCGGTATATACAAGCAGCGAAGCGTAGCATGAAAAACACAGCGGGAACAAAACAAAAGCTTAGATGTTATCACTACAGTACCTCCCCCCTAGAATGCAAGCTCGAGAAAAGCATTTGGGATAAAAGTTAATTAAACGTATATAAGAATATTCAGGCATGTCCATATCTGTCGGGAAAATGAACTTGTCTCCCTGAACGTGTCCTAGAAGTACCAGGTACTTGGTTCTCTACCGGCTTGGCCCTCGCTGAAGCATGGTTTGATGGGAATGATGTGTTTTTGGCAGTTGAACGTTGGTTATCTGCATCGGTATAAGCAACTTTAAGACGATCTATGCTTATTGTTTTTTGTTTTCCATTGACATCTACGAGGAAATGTTTGTCATTGCGCTTGAGAACCTTGAAAGGACCGTCGTATGGAGGTTGAAACGGCTTTCGAACAGCATCATGGCGAACAAAAACGTGCGTACAAGATGGAAGATTAGCTGGGATGTATGTGTAAGCTTCTTGAGAACGGGGAGGAGTTGGTTTTAGTTGTTGCATAAAACTTTGTAGACGATCAACGAAAACAGAGGGATCAAGGGCTGTGACATCAAATGTCGGAAATATGAATTGACCTGGAAGACGAAGTGTGGAACCGTAAACAAGTTGGGCAGGTGAACAACCGAGGTCAGTTTTAATCGTTGTCCGTAGTCCGAGGAGAATGAGTGGAAGAAGGTCGATCCATCTTGTGGAATCCGGTTGAGCTTTGATTGAAGCTTTAAGCTGTCGATGGAAACGCTCAACCATGCCATTGGCACAAGGGTGGTAAGAAGTAGTATGAATACGTTTGATTCCAAGTAAATGAGCGAGGGAACGGAAGAGAGCTGATTCAAACTGAGCTCCTCTATCAGTGGTTATCGTTGAAGGAACACCGAAAGCTGCAATCCAACGTGAAACAAAAGCTTGAGCGACGGTTTCTGCGGTAGCATCTGAAATTGGAATCGCCTCTGGCCAACGAGTGTAGCGGTCGATGCAAGTAAGAAGATATCTACAACCGTTTGATGGTGGTAGAGGGCCAACAAGGTCTATGTGTATGTGATCGAAACGTGTGTCAGTAGATGGAAAAGTTCCAATGGGGGAAAACGTGTGACGGGTGACTTTAGCCTGTTGGCATGGGATACAGGACCGAGTCCAATTGCGGATGTCTTTGTTGATACTAGGCCAGATGTAATGTTGTCTGATAAGTCGCTGTGTTGCACGAATACCGGGATGTGCAAGTGAGTGGAGGTGATTAAACACAAGGCGGCGATAACAGACAGGAACATATGGGCGAGGAGTGCCGGTTGATATGTCACAAATGATGGTTCCAGAATCTGCCGGTAAAGGAAACTCTTTCAGATTAAGAGAGGTGTTTGACTGTACCTGGTGGAATTCAGAATCTTGCTGTTGAGCTGCAGACAGTGTGACAAAGTCAAGGCTTGGAATATTGAGCAAGGAATTGAGCTCAATGCGAGAAAGAGCATCAGCAACCACATTCTGATGGCCTTTTACGTGTCGTATGTCAGAGGTGAATTGAGAGATAAAATCAAGATGGCGAATTTCCCGTGGCGAATATCGATCAGACGAAGAAGACAGTGCATGAAGCAATGGCTTGTGGTCTGTCATAACATGAAATGCGCGTCCTTCCAAAAAGTACCGAAAGTGCTTGATAGCTAAGTAGACGGAGAGTAGTTCTCGTCCAAATGTGCTGTACTTCGTTTCGGCTGGTTGCAGGCGCTTTGAAAAGAAAGAAATAGGTTGCCAGGCACCATTGAGGAATTGTTGAAGCACTGCTCCTACAGCCACATTCGAAGCATCAACAACTACACTGCATGGTGCTACTGGTGATGGGTGAACAAGAAGAGTAGCCCGGGAAAGTGCTGTTTTGATCTCTGAGAATGCAGATAACGAATCCACAGTTAGTTGGAACGGTTCTTTGGTAGACTTGGCAGAGAGAAGGTCGGTGAGAGGCTGTATTAATTGAGCACAGCAAGGCACAAAACGACGGTAGAAGTTGATCAATCCCAGGAACTCGCGAAGCTTTTTGAGCGAAGTAGGAGGAGGAAAATCTTCGATTGCTTGAACTCTTGTGGAAAGCGGTGAGATTCCTTGTGGTGAAACATGATGTCCTAGGAAGTCAATATGAGATTGGCCAAAAATGCATTTGGTAGGATGAATGACAATACCATGATCGGAAAGACGAGAGAATAAAATTTCAAGATGCAACAAATGTTCTGCTTCAGAATTGCTTGCGATAAGTAAATCATCAATGTAAGCAAAAACGAAATCCAAACCACGAAGTACTTGGTGCATGAAGCGCTGGAATGTCTGTGCTGCATTACGCAATCCGAATGGCATGCGAACGAATTCAAAAAGTCCAAAGGGAGTTGTTATGGCAGTCTTAGGAATGTCACTAGGTTCGACTGGAATCTGATGATAGGCACGCACGAGATCAATTTTTGAGAAAATGGTTTTTCCATGCAGAGACGAAGAGAAATCTTGGATGTGTGGGATGGGGTAGCGATCGGGAACTGTAGCATTGTTCAAGCCACGATAATCACCGCAAGGTCGCCAGTCGCCTTGAGTAGCCTTAGGAACCATATGCAACGGAGAAGACCAACTGCTTTTTGACGGTCGAATGATGCCAAGTTGTAACATGTGATCAAATTCAGCCTTGGCAATGATCAAACGTTCAGAAGCAAGACGACGGGGACGAGCAAATACAGGAGGGCCTGAAGTTGTGATGTGATGGGTGACGGTATGCTTTACTTTTGATTCGTTGTATGAAGGACGGGCAATGTCAGGATACTTTTGAAGTAAGGCTTGGTATGGCGAAGTAGTATCAGGGGTTGCCAGCATAGGATGAGGTGAGCTGTCGGCGGACAAAATACCTTGAATGGTCAAATTTGTTGTAGTGTCAATGAGTTTCCGATTTTTAACATCAACTTTAAGGCCAAAATGAGCAAGGAAATCAGCGCCAAGAATAGGAAACGGTATTTCAGCAATAATAAAAATCCACCTGTACGTGCGGCGAAGTCCGAGGTCTATCGTTAAAGACTTTTCTCCGAAAGTACGAATTGGCGACTTATTCACAGCCTGTAAAGAAATGTTTTGAGAAGTTTGTCTGTCAGTAGAAGAAGGAGGTAGAACGCTTACATCAGCACCTGTATCTACCAAGAAGCGTGTACCAGTGATACGGTCGGTAATATAAAAGAGGCGACTGGAAGGAGCAGGACCAGCAGAACTAGTCGCCCTTAGTTGCTGGTGGCGTCGTTTCCCTGGTTTGAGGTGAAGCTTGAAAAGTTGCATGGTGGAGTGCAATTGCGAGCAAGTCGACCATAACGTTGATGGTACCAGCAGTAGGTAGAGTTTGAGGGTGCTGGGCTGGTGCGGCGATTACGGCTGATAGAGCGGCTTCGGCTACGCCCTGGGAAATTATTGGTTGGCTGTGTGTGGCTTATGAGGGCTTGGACTTGAAAAGTCAGTTCCTCTACTTGAGATCTGAGAGCATGAACTTCAGATGCGATAGGCGGTGTAACAGGCGTGGGGGCCGGCGCTGACACGGTAGGTGTTAAAGAGGAGATGCCAAGAGGGGTCGCAACCTCTAAAATTTTGTCTGCTAATAAAGCAACCTGCTCAACGGGAAGGGAGTCAGCAGTGGAGGCTAAAATCAGCCTGACATTGGTTGGTAACCTTCCCAAAAACAACTGTCGTAAAATGTTGTTTTCTAGTGTATTGTCTCCAAGCAGTTGTCGCATATGGCGCAGTAATTGAGAGGGCTTCCGGTCACCCAGTTCTTCTGCAGTCAGCAGTTGGTGAAGCCGCTTTTGTTCAGATGCGGAAGTACGCTGTATGAGTTCGGCCTTGAGTGTATCGTACTGCGTTGCTTGAGGGGGGTGGATCAAAATGTCGCGTACCTCCTGTGCGATTTCAGGCTGGAGAGCGGAGATTACATAAGCAAACTTTGTAGCCTGTGAAGTTATATTTCTTGTGAAAAACTGGGCCTCTACTTGAGCAAACCAAACAAGGGGATCGTTAGGCCAAAAAGGTGGAAGTTTGACACTTACCGAAGCAACTGGCGCTGGTTCTGAAGTCGTGGCGATGGCTGCAGTTGCAGTAGTGCTGTCTGACGGTGGCGTGTTGGCGTCTGTATTCATGTCGAATTGTAGACGTAGAAATAAACGAAGTGGTCACCAATTTAACAACCTGTGTTGTTAATAAAGTAACAGTCTCGAAGGACGAATTATTGAAGAGCGAAGTCGATAGTAAGAGACGTACGTCGTGTTATTATCTTATTTCGAACCAACTAACTATTTCTAAATAAACACAGCGGTATATACAAGCAGCGAAGCGTAGCATGAAAAACACAGCGGGAACAAAACAAAAGCTTAGATGTTATCACTACAAAACTATGGGACATAATAATGAAAAAAGCTTGATAATGTTGCCTTGAATTTCATCCAGTAAATTTTTCGTGCCGCCGACCAGGATGTAGTGCCATCAAAATAACAAGGGGGCTCTGAGCCCATCTAGCACTACACCCCTACCGCCAACCATGGTAGCGGCCTTTCCTAAAACCTTCCACTGTCTTGACATTTTGTCCCCTCCACTTTCAAAAACGTTTCTCTGGCCCTGTTCATCTATTGTAAAAATTAAAATGTCATTGTTAGGAAATTATCCAAAAAAATTCACGGGCGTGATTCGAGGACAAGGTAGATAGTTCATATCTATTTAAATTAGTTAACCTCATTCGATTCCTCGCATTTGTGGGCCCCCCTTGTGGTTGTTCGGGATTGTTCATGTCTGAGTCTTATTGAGTTGCATTCATTGCCTCGCAGCGGAACTTAGGCCACGTGAAATAATATGGCGTACAAAATGGCGCATAAACTGTGCCATATCAGATGCCATCATTCAAGTAGACGTTTTATGATGACTTGTTCTAGTATGGTAATATAAAAAAATTCAATTTCTAATGAATTTATTTCTTAAGAGCTGTTGTTGTGAGAATAACCTTGCGTTTCAGCGTGCACATTCTACCATTTCTTCGAGGAGAAACAATGTTGTTTCTTCTCGACCATATTCACTTATGTGATAAAGTATTAGGATGAACATCTCAAAGGGAAATGTTCTTAACCCTATGCTCAAAGAACAAGACAGTTCTTGTAACTTTTTGTCACAATTGCAGCATAGCTAGGTTTTGCATAGCATCGTTACTTGTATCTGTACTTTCCTGGAGACTCTATACTGTACTTTGACAAAATATTCAGTATTGACTGACCTCACACACAATCCACGTTGCCAATGCCATTAGACCCAACAAATGGTTGGCATACCCTCTATTGAATTGTCTGAATTGTAAACTTTTTGTTTTTGTAAATAACATGTGTTTTGATGCAACCAAACTTTTTTGCAATTTCAAATGACACGGTAGATGCAAACTTCCTATCACTTCTCAGTCCATGGACGTTTTTGCCTATTCGGCATTGCAATAAGAACTTGATTTTTCATTTCCCTGTGACATTTTCTATATTTCTACAATAAGAAGGTAGAAAACAAATTTAATTTGCTAGGATTTGTATTTTTGCTGACGCAGTTTCCAGAATCTGGCAATGAGGTTGGAATGGTAGTTTCTGAGCCGCCATTCTCTTATTCATCGTCCTAATACTTTTGTCACATAAGTGAACATGGTAGGTTAGGTGCAATCATAAAAGAACCTAGCTGTGACAGATTACTGTCCATCGAAAGTGTAGCTGCAAGCTTCTGCATGTTTTCCAGTTCCAGCTTGGGCTATATTGAGTACAAGTTGTTGTAAAGTTTCAACAAGATTAATATATGCTCTTTCAGGCTGGGACCAGAAATATCTACGAAAGACAGAAGTCGCTTCTTTTTTACAACCATTATCTACAAACATATGTAAGTAGGAGTTGTATGGTTATTTTTCTAAAGATAAATACTATTCCTTGTACTATTGATCTGATTTTTGCTATTGATCTGATATAATGTGCTATTGATGTACTGATTTTTTACGTTTATGATAAGAGTTGTGCCCTTTTTGGTTATAACAATTATTTTCACACAAACAGATTCACTAACAATTAAGTGCAATTTTGTTGTCATTCAACCATTTGTAACTTACTATCATACAACAAAGTGCACATGAGACAGGTCAGAAAGAAAGATTACGCAAAAATACCCTTTCTTGTATACTTGATAAAACAGGGAAAGATATAGGAACATAATTTTTAGCCTGTTAAGCAAAATGTTATTGACCACACCCCACTAATTCTATACAAACTAAATGAGAACAATCAAAATCCAGTCCCCAACTAAACTATGATATGAAGCTCTAGAGCCAAGGCCTTGTGAGGAGCAAAAAGCAGGCACTTGACAACCTTCAACTTTCTTGAGCATCATCAAAAATCATCAATAACAAAATTTGGTTTTACACATTTAGTTTTTGGACAGCATAAACAGGCTAGGTACTTGATCAATCAAGCTCCTAGAACTTTCTAGGGAAGTGTTGAGGCACTTGAATGAGCTTGAGCACCTCCCCTTGCAAGGCCTGCTGCAGCCTTGGGACTGGTTGTGAGTATTTTAGGTGGAGGAGAATGTTGATCCTTGTACACTCCCCTCACGAATGTATCTGGACAGTTTTGAATTTAGTTGCCAATTTGTTGTTAGGGAAATTTGTTTACAAATTTCGAAGGCAGTTTTCATGAAAGCGATTTTATCAATTTCCTCGAATTTTTTCTTGAAGCATTTTTGGTCTTTGTTCTATTTATTCTACGAAAAAAATATCTTATCGCTATACAAGCAAACTTTGTGAGGGTTTTTCCTCAAGATGGTAGCGTCTGAAACAAAAGAACTGACTTCTGAGCAGTGTCTAGAAATAATGTTTTAATGCAACGATGAAAGAAAGCTATCATTAAATTGCTAATATGATTGGATGCACAAAGACTGTCTCTTTCGACTTATGCAAAAAAGTGAAAAGCAAGAAGCACAAAAGATTTGCCACAGTCAAAAAGATCAAGAGATCTCATGACCCCAACGGCCGAACGTTTTGCCTTAACTGATTGGCATCAAAACTGGTTTGCATCATTACACAAAATTGCATTTAAATGTTCACAAACAATTGAACTTTCTAAAGCTGTCAATAAATATTCCAAAGAAAATTATAAAGAATTGTGAATGTACCTTTATACTGATAGATTTCAGCAAGACTTGCAGCTGTAAAGATAAAATAAAATGTGGCTTTATGGCCCTGCGCTGAATGATATGTCCCCTTTCAAGCAAGTTAAAATGTTACTAAATGTTATGCATGTTTGATAATCGACGGGTGGAATCTACAATTTTAAAGTTGAAAGGAGATCAGGGAAACACAGCTTCCCTCTGAATGGAAACACGCTCCGTGAAATCGCTGAAGAATTTGCTGAAGAATTTGCTGAAGAATTTGCTTAAGAATTTGCTGAAGAATTTGCTGAAGAATTTGCTGAAGAATTTGCTGAAGAATTTGCTGAAATGGAAACCAGCTTTAAGGCTTGTAGGGCAAGGCCTTGACAAAAAAATGATAACAGATGAAATGCGCAGAGGTTTTGCAACATTTTAATGTCTTGGTTTATTTTGGAAGGGCTTCTCAAGAAATAATTATCACTAAGTTAAATTTTTTTCTGTCTGAAAGAGCAATCAATCTTTGAACTGTCTGGATACTTTCGTTAGGAGAGTGAATAAACATTAAAAACCAATGAAGATGTATGAGATGGTTTGATAATGGGAAGAGTATGACTATGTAAGGAAAAATTGATTCACCAAGTCTTAAGTCTCTCAGAAACTCTTTGGTGCCATATAACCCCCCCCCCCTCATTTTGGCTAACATCTCTTCTAAAACAGGTGTGCATGTGACAATAACAGCACTGGCCTTCACTATCCTATTTTTATTTTTCACTGTGGCATTCCTATGCTTGGCAGTGGGTTGGAAATTTGTTCCATATTTGCCAGATGTTGACAAACAGTATTTTCCAAAATGGAAAACAGAAGCACCACAATCACACCCCAAGCAAAAGTTCTTATAGCAAAACGAGAGAAAATTACACAACACAATGGACAGTAACAATGGCAGTGGGATAATGCAGTGCAATTACTTATGAAACAAAAAAATTGGATTAGCAACTTTTTATCAACACATGGATACTTGCATCCAAGTCTACACTCCAAGTAAAAGGTTTCAAAAAGTATCCTATAAAGGGATTTATATCAGACAAATTTTATAAGAAAACTTTCAGCAGAATTCTCCTTGTGGCATTGATACCTTCTTCTAATAGCCTAAATGGTATCCTAATTGATTCAGACAGGTAAAACCTTTTAAGAATGGCAGGTGTCTAGAAAAGAGGTTCTTCAATTGTGTACCAAAATATTGAAATTTAAAAAAATAATTCCATTAAATGATAAAGTTAGCCTTTTTTGTTGATGAACAATGGAGGTTAAAAGTATCTTTAGGTGATAGAACTAGAGAAGCTAAAGTGGTATATTTTCTTTATGCACAGAATAATTCATCGTTGCCAAGAAAGATAGAATGGCAAAATGTATCAAGAAAAATGAGATTCCATACATCAAGTGTGTAATATTGTTTTTAATATGATAAATTTCATTATATGCCTTGGTGTCAAGAACATGATAGTTCTAGATGTGGTCATTAGGCAATAGTTTTCAAGTACTTTGTAACAGACCTTTAGAACAAACAGTTGTCAGTCACTGTAACAATATAAAGTAATCTTCATTTTTTTTATATCATTTGTAGTAGCCTAACTAAGTACTACTGTTTAGTTATGAATTATACAGAGTGATTGTATTTTCCTTGATTTTATTTCATGGCATAAAATCTGAAATGGTGGCTTTTTATCTTTACTGTGCACATTCAATCATTGGTATTGTGCATCTAGTTTGGAATAACAGAAATTTTCCTGGGGCATATGTACTTCATATTCCCTGATGATTTAATGACACAACTTATTATTTATTCCATTTTAGGCAAAAGTTGTAAAGTCCTGCCATTCAATTTGTCAGATATTGGTGAAGGTATAGCAGAAGTGACAATAAAAGAGTGGTTGGTGCCAGAAAATATCTGATTTTCCTTTTCTATCAACCTTTCTAGTTATTAATATGTTGACACGGAATAATTGAATGATAATTCAGAATATTGAAAGATTGATCTGATCAGTGCTGGGAAATGTTTTCTGTCTTTGACCATTATTAGCAACTTTTTTGAAACAAAGTTGTCTTGAGGATCTCAATTCAGAGATATGCATTTCATTCTTGCAAACTTTTACAAGATTTATTTTGTTTGACTTTTTCCAGCTCTGCCTCTGGTTTAATCTACTTTTAGTTAATATTTGTTTAGTTTTATCAAATTTAAAATTTATTTCCAAGTTTTCAACAGATATCTTGTATTACCAAGTATTTTATTGATTGTATTTTTGTGTTATTTTGGTGTATTTATTTTAGGTATGTTGAGGTTGGAAGTAAGGTTGATCAGTTTGATAATATTTGTGAGGTACAAAGTGATAAGGTATGAGTGCTTTATTGCAGAAACTTTTTCTTCGCTTCACTTCGCATAACTTACCCAGAATTGCTAACATCTATCTTCTGCAAATATGCTACTTTTGGGGTTAGTTCGTTTTTGCAACTAGTGTACCTCAATTTAGTCAGATCAAGCACATACCAACCAACCATTAAGGATATTTGCCTTTTTCACACATTTATCAAGAAGTGTAAAAGAGAAAACAAGCAAAAAGTAAAAATCCTTTCAACATTGTTATAGCAATTATGCACCCTTTATAATATTGAATCAGAGTTGAACTTATTGAAAAAAATTCTTCAAAAATACACAAAAAGAAATTTATAAATTTGAAGATTTTCTAAAAGCAAGAAAGGGAATGTGATTGAATATGTCAGTTCAGCAAAAGAACGAGGGGTCAAGAAAGTTCAAGTCATGGCTATAAAATCATGGCTATTAATACAGATCACTTCGAGGCTACTAAGAATAGAACACTTTTTTTTATATAAAGTATTAAAGTTTGCTTCGGTCTTATTTAAATATGTCATTTTGTTCATGAACTTTGTGTCAGACTGGCATTTCGCCAACAATTTTAAGATTGAAATGTGATGTGTAGGTTCTTATAACAGAGAGAATTCAAGTTTTATTGTTCATTTGCTGAATAGGCATCAGTGACAATCACAAGCAAATATGATGGAGTGATAAAGAAACTTCATTACAATGTTGATGATGTGGCACGTGTTGGAACAGCGCTAGTTGATATTGAAATCGCAGATGATAAAAGTAAGCATCATTCTAAAGATTTGTCTTTGTTGATAAAAGACCCGGCTCTGTTCTAATCTTAGTAATTGAAGTTTTCCTTAAAGACAGCTACTGTAAGTTATCTGACACGGCCTGGACGCTTTCTTTGAGTCCATGTTGATAACAAAGTAGAAACGCTCAGGCCATCGAATCAAAGACCTTTGTCCGTTTCCATTTCAGAAGCTGAAGTAAACGAAGAGTACGAGCATTTGCTCCAAAGCGAGCCGGGGACTCCTCCTTTGCCGGACAATGAAAGGCCGTCTTTGCATTCAGTCTCCGCGAAGAAAGCTATTGAAGAGGTTACTCAGATATCTTCAACTAACGCAGTAGTGTCTTCGATGAATGAAACAAAAAAGACTCTAGCTACACCTGCTGTTAGACGTCTAGCGGCAGAATATAAGGTATCCATCCTTCATGGTTTTAGCTATCATTAGTTGCATTTCAATTTGATAAGGGCAGTGAAATATATTCACTGTTAATTTCATACTTTGAGAAAAAATATCAACAAAAGAATTCCATCAGTTAAAATATAATAGCTCTCTCAGAAGACATTGCCACATC